TTTTACGCCTTTTGTCTAGTCTTCCCATAGGCTTTGAGGTTTATTCATCTTTAACCAGGAGAGAGATTTTGAATTTTTTTGCTTATTACAGGTAATTGTATTGAAAGAAAATGGAAACATCATTTCATACTTCCTCGTTAATTTTTAAAATGAAAATCAGTCATTCAAATTATCCCTCACCCAACCTTTCTAAATTCTAAGACAAGAAAATTAATGTCAATTAAATATTGGATTAATATTTCTAATTAGGCATATATGTTTTGGCTTACATATTTGACAAAATAATTATACTTTTAAATTTGTTTTTTATAGACCTTACAGTGCTTCTGGGTCCTTGGCACAATGAATTTAGGCACATTTCACAGGGCTTGGTTGTTACTTGTTAAGGTTGTTACTTGATTGTTATGACAAATTGCTTGTCTTTCAATATCTGTTGCCAAGTCACTGGCCAGAAAAGCCACCCCTTATTCTGCCCACTTGTCTTTTGGCGTATGAAACCTTCCCAGTGACCCATTTGATTATGTGATTTACAGATGTGCAATTACAGGTCAGAGTAAACCAGGGGCTGTGTGGCCATGATGCAGCTAACCTATGCGATATTTGCCCAGTGTGTATGTGTGTGAGGTGGAAGTGGGGGCCTGCATGTGGGGTAACGCTCTGAACAAAGTCACATCAAACTACACTTGGTGTTCAGGGAAACCATTTCTCAACCAGTGGCTTTCAAGGGTCAAAGGAAGAGAGCCAACTTAAGGATTTGTGAATGATTTATAGCATTAAAAATGCTTTCTGGGCCGGCCGGGTGGCACAAGCGGTTAAGTGTGCACGCTCCGCTGCGGCGGCCCGGGGTTCACAGGTTCGGATCTGGGGCATGCACTGCTTGTCCAGCCCTGCTGTGGTGGCGTCCCATATAAAGTAGAAGAAGATGGGCACGGATGTTAGCTCAGGGCCTGTCTTCCTCAGAAAAAAGAGGAGGACTGGCATCAGATGTTAGCTCAGAGCTGATCTTCCTCACGCACACAAAAAAATGCTTTCTAAATGGGCTGTATGTTTTATTATGGAGACAGGGGGAATGGGGCATTTTCAGAACATCTATCAAATAGGTAGCAAAATTCCCATGTAAAATTGGGGTTTCTATCAGGGAGAACAACAGATATTAGTGGCATCAGCCCAGTTGCTCAATTACTCAATTACTTGCAGTAATTAAGGAGGGGGCCAGTTGAAATGAAATAAAGGGTTGAATTACAGAATGCTTCCTTTTAAGTCAAAGATGTATTCCTTACATCCTGGCCTGGGGAATGTCCTGCTTTCATGAATGAAGAGCAGAGTCTGAGTTGGCACACCGGAGCCCCAACTGAAGACCCTGCGGGATGCATTTTATGAATTATTTTAAATATTTCTGAAGAATTGCTCTGTATATTATGAATTTGGCTGAACAAATCTGTCCTATAGCTTTCCTCTAGCATAGCCTTTAAACTGACCACCAGGAATTTGGCTTTCAAATTAGTCTAGCCCAAATGTATGATATTTTGGTGTCTTTAAAATTAAAGGAATTAAAAAGCAAAATGCATAATAAGAATGCCAAGATTAATCCTTAAAGTCACGTTAGTCTTCTTTTGAAAAAATTGTCTTTGGTAACATCCGATGAGTTAGATAAACTTGCCAGATGTTCATGGCCCTGAAAATAAATTCACAACACCGAGGCCAATCCAAAACCCAGAGAGTTGGCTAAATAATCCAGTGTAGAAACACTATGGGGCATACACATTCCGATCGGTGCTTTGTCACCTTCACTAGTCACTTCCAATGTAATTAAAACAGCTTTACAATTGAATTCCTAACATAATTGGCAGCGCATTGCCAGGACTCTGAGGCTGCTTCGAGATGCAGTTAGAGTGAGGCTAAGTCAGGTGAGTGTCAGGAATTATTAGTAGATGTGGGTGAGCCCCTGAAAATGAGCAGTTACCATCCTATGTCACGTTTCTCATCTCTTTTGCAACAGGGCTATATAAAAGAAAAGTGGAGGGGTGTTTCAATGGCCTCGGCTGCCATTTGTGTATGTACCCAAACTTACATGTTATAACCTGATGTATATTCGTGTCTACAGATTACACTTGAAAGGAAACTAATGATGTCAACTTCTGCTGACATTAATCAGTGGGAAATTTTGTAAAGGATTTCAGACCTTTCTCTGCACTCAGTTTTTTCTTTGTAGAATCCATGTACAAGGCATTTTCTTTCCATCTGTTGTGTCTGAGGATCCTACTTGCATGGGAGAGAAAACGCCAATTCAATAGGGTAGATATTTTTTCTTCCTTTCAGACCAAAAGACAGGTTTAGATTTTTTCCCTCAAATATTTTCTTTAAATGTGTTTTTTTTAATCTAAACTCACAGCTGGCGATATTTTTGCTCATATAGAGACCACCTTTTTCTTTCCTTAGTTTCCTCCTGTTCCTTCATGTTCTGTGGGACTGCTGTGGTATCAATCCCAGCTCATAATTATTTGTCTCCCATTTAGCCACAAGGTGTGAATTTGCTAACTGAAGAGGCGTGCTCTGACAGTTAATCTCACTGTATGTCCAGAAGCTGAGCTGCTGTGCTGGATAATTTCCCTCAGGGATTGTTGTGTAGAGTGTGGGGCCATTTGTTGAGCAGTCTGATGCGGAAGAGAAAATGAAACGACCTGGCGGAGAGAAACGAGATCACACAGTGCCTTTCAGAGCAAAAAGGGAGAATCAAAGGATAAGTTCAGGTCCCCTCCAGCTCCCCAAGCACGTTCCTGGGGACTAGGGAATCAGGGATATTTCCTTGTTAGTGTTTTTAGAGAAGTCACTGAGAGAGAGCCCCAAATCAGCAAGTTATGGCAAATTCAGTCATGCCCACAGGCTGTGCTCGGAAATTACCACCAACCCAGAACACTTCTGTCTATGCCTGAGACTTACAAGTTCTTCAAGGGCTACAAAAAATGTTTGGAACCAGAAGAAAAAATATATGTTGATATTGACTCCAAAATCCAAAAAGGTATCTACAAAAATCAAGATTATTAAATGTTTAATTGTGGGGCCGGCCCCCTGGCTTAGCGGTTAAGTGCGCCCGCTCCGCTGCTGGAGGCCCGGGTTCGCATCCTGGGCGCGCACCAACGCACCGCTTCTCCGGCCGTGCTGAGGCCGTGTCCCACATGCAGCAACTAGAAGGATGTGCAACTATGACATACAACTATCTACTGGGGCTTTGGGGGAAAAAAATAAATTAATTAATTAATTTAAAAAAATAAATGTTTAATTGAATGTCTACAAAATATTTAATATCAACTTCATTAAGTGTTCAGTTTAGCCTTCTTAAAAATTACATGTGAAAAGGGGCCGGCCCGGTGGCGAAAGCGGTTAAGTGCGCGCGCTCCGCTGCAGTGGCCCGGGGTTTGCCGGTTCAGATCCCGGGTGCACACGGATGCACTGCTTGGCAAACCATGCTGTGGCAGCGTCCCATATAAAGTGGAGGAAGATGGGCACGGATGTTAGCCCAGGGCCAGTCTTCCTCGGCAAAAATGAGGAGGATTGGCAGAGGTTAGCACAGGGCTGATCTCTTCACAAAAAAAAAATTACGTGTGAAAACAAATTGTGGATTTGATTTTCTCACATTCCAGGATTTTGAGTATGCCAATCACAAATTAAAGGAATTGGACGTAGCCAGTAATTTGAAATGAGAAATTATAAAAATCTTTTCCATTTTTTTATGCAAAAATGTGTATTTTAGGAGGGATGCGAGGGCATCTTAATGTTCTTTGTATGACATGGGTACTAGGACTAAAAAGAGATCCTAGGGCCCGTGAAGGGTTTAAAACAGCCCTGCACCTGTCTGCTCTTCTCCACGTCTGTGATTAGTCCTGGTGATGCAGATCAGCAAAGACTCTAATGAGGAGGACCAGAAGGCAAGACAGAAGAGACGTTCCAGTTTGTTCTTGCTGTATGCTCCCATAGTTGATGTGAAGCGACAAAGGCAGTGGTCTGCTCATGAGGAAATTCACAAGACACCTGTCTATCACTGGAAAGATCATAGGGTGTGTCAGGTTCTGTTGAAGAAGGAGAGTTCATATTAAGTTGGGGAAGCCAAGCCAGCTGGTTAGGGCTTGTTGGTGAAACTCCAGTGTCCCTTATCTGAGTTGTGTTCTCTCCCAACAAGATGACCGGCCCTCATGTGCCCTTGTGTTTAGTCACCTTTTCTCAACTTGACAGATATTTCCACTTTTACAATAGAAAACTTGAAGTGGTAGGGGCAGGAAAGAAGACGGATTATCTGAATTCCATGTGTGATGATCTTTGTCTTGAATTCAGTGTCCTAACTTCTTCAGGCTTTATTTTATTCACTATATGTGGGGCGATGAGTGTTGACTCCCTCCAAAAGACATGAAAATTGACATGTCCTTGTAATCCCAACCCCAGCAATAACCACTAATAACAGTTTGGTATGATTCTTGCAGAATTTTTTTCTTTGTATGACGATAGTATAATGATACTTATACTAAAGTTATACTGATTATACTTATACTTGGTATAACGATACTTATACTAAAGTATCGTTAATTTATTTTCTTTTATAAAATGAGATAACAAATAAGGTTTAAAATTTTTTTTCACTTAACAATATATCTTAGATATCTTTGTGTCTCAATACATGTGTACTTATCTCATTCATTTTAATGACCACATGGTATTCCACCACACGGCTGGGCCATAATTGGTTTAACTGCCCTCTGTTGCTGGGCGTTTGGGTTGGCCATTTGACTGTGGTCTTTCGGGGGAATGTACCACGTGCCTAAATAAACCATTATATATTGGCTAGAAATATATACCCTTGGCACCCTTTGTTGGCTTATTCCTTCCCAGGAGCAGAAAAAACCAAGTCTTTCCCTATACTGTTGCTTGTTATTAAATGTAAAACCTATATGTGATTCGTCTTTTATTTATCTCTTTGTCTTTTGTTTCTGCCTTTTCCTCTTATGCAGTCATCTACAGCCAGGGACAAGGATGAACAGGCTCTACCGGTAGGAAGCAGTGGCCCTGTCTGTACCTGTTCATGTGCCTGTGGAGGGTGTGAGGGCAGGGGTGGGAGGAAGACGGGCTCATATGGTCAACAAATTGCCGTCTCCCTTGGAATACTTAAATGGTTTAATTTGCCAGTGTGTGTATATACTGTATCCTACAATTAGTGTCAACTGAATTCTGATATTCACTGACAAATTATTTCTGGGACTAGGTTTCAAAAAGTTCAAGTTCTGTCTTTCATTCGGCATGAACTTTTATAGGAGTTCAAAGAGTGAGATATTTCCAAATTGCATTCCAAGGGATGTTGAGCTGATATTTGGGGACAACATGGGATCAAATGCTTGACATATATTTTCTTTGTGCATCTGCATGCACCTAATTTTTGGTTGGAAATTTCTTTTGGTTCCACCAAAAGAAATGCTGCATGAGACCTATATATTCAATATATACATAATACCCAAATGATTGCTGTAAGTTCTTCTATAGATAGAATCCTTTGCTAATGAAGATCTCCACAGCAGAGTTCTCGCAGTTTCCCAGAATAAGGACCATAGTAACAGTGGTTATGACAAATTATTAACAACACATATTCCAGTTCCTATCCAGTTAACACATCACATTTTGAGTTGTACAGCATGGCAAGGAAATGACCTTCAGAGTTTTACTATCAAAGAGTAATTAGATTTCAACTCTATTCAAGTCTCTTAACCTTGCCCCTAAAATACTTTGAACCTTAATCATCTGAATCAAATGACACAATGCATTAAAAAATGTTACAAATTTTTAAGGCTGAAAGGACTGGTAATGAAGATACATATGACCTCATCCTTCCTCCTATAGTGCTCAGAGCAAAGACTTAGGACATTCATTGAGAGCCCATAGGATGTGCCAGATCCAGTACTGGGCTCAGGATACAGACCCAGTCTCTTACTTTGAGGAGCTCATGGTCTGGCTCACCAGTCATCACCTCTGATTCTTCTCCGAACCCTGTAGAGTTGGGAGTGTAATTTATAATAAAATGTCAACTATAATAAAATCACACTAAGAAATTCAGATTTCTCCATGTATCCAGCACTGACATTTCACCCATACTTCAAGATTACCATGAGTTTCACGTTTGTCTCCAAATGTGCACACCGTGATCGTTAATAATAAGTATTCTACAAAATAAGGGACCTGTGGGCAATAGTTTGGAAACACTGTCCAAGTGAACCAGATTTCTTTAGTGTTATACCTAGTGGTCTAATGTGTATCTTAAAACGCTAAAGCTGGGTTGGTCTAGGATGTAGCACTTTCCAAATGTATTTGATTGTCTCTTATGAGACTTTTCTTGGGAAACCCCCTGGTGGGTATCGAGTGTGATGAAATATTTTGGAAAATGCCGTAATATAGAGGGTTGGAAGACTTAGGGATCACTTTTACCTGATTCCAGAAAAATTTCATGTCGATATTTTGGACCAAATGTTCCATGAGAAATTAATTCCCTCACGTTACATTACCCTCTCTCTTAAATCTGCCTGTCTCTAAAGCTCGGCTGCACCAGAAGCATCTTCCCCTGTGACCCAGCACAAAATCAGCCACAGGGGGAGAAAGCAGTTCCTAGTCAGGATAAAAATCTATCAAAATCCAGAGTTTTTTTTAGATTGTTTGCTTTTCAAGATAAAAGAAAAAGAGTTTGTTGGTAACCTCATCTCTAGAAGTTCATTCTTCCTCTCTTTCCTATCAGTTTCATTTATTTAGCCAAAGGATCATGCAATAGGAGTTTAGGCAAAAGGATCCTCCCTTTGAAGTCAGGAATTTTCTCGGTGGATTCATAATAGGAGGTTCTCTCTCCTCAAATCTCAGTTAATACAGACCATAGGCCTTCATGGATTAGATCTGTGGTCCCCAGGGTAGAGATGAGGTACCCCAGGAGATGTGCAGGATGTTCCTTTGGGGAGCAGGAAGAAAATATTAGCACCTCTATCATTTACTGTCTATATTATTCCTCATGATTTCTACTTTTGCAAATGTTTTATAATGTATATGCTCATATTTTAGTATGTGTGTAGATATAGATACAGATAGAGGTATTGTTATAGATATAGATACAGATGGATACATACTCAAAAATTTTACAGATAGAGTGCATAATCCAAACATTTTAGAGACCACCCACTGGTTCAGAGAACAATTTTTGAGAAAAGCAAACGTGAGATCTGTTCCTCTATCCTCCATTTTTTGTCAGTGTGACTGGACGCCTCATCTCAATTCTCTGAGACAAAGTTTCCTCATCCATCTAAAGGGAATAATAAGAGTATCTAGTTCATAAGGTTCATTTTGAGAATGAGATGAACTAATGGAGGTGAAGCATATGGCACATTGACTAGCATTTACTAAGCTCTTAAAAAAATGGTAGCAATTAATTCATTTAGTAGGAAACAATGTAAGAAAGCCATTCCTTGGGGATTTGAAATGTACTTTGAAAATCTTTGGTTCAGTAGTGTGTGATCACGTGACAGAAACGAGTGACCGCCAGACTAGGTGAGGATTTACCTGTAATGCACTTGCCTTGAGTGTCTGAGGACTAACAGCATCTTTGGTTTCTCTGCTCAGCCTAAGCCACGTCTGCAGCGAGGAGGAAGTTCTGCCTCCCTCCACAACAGTCTCATGAGAAACAGCATCTTCCAGCTCATGATCCACACCCTTGACCCACTTGCTGAAGGTAAGCATCGGGCTGTAGTTTGGGAGCTCATTTGGGGGGAAAGAGGATGTAAAAAGGCTTCTCTTCATAAAACTTGTTTCCATTTCCGTCACACGAGCCTGCCAATGTCCTCTTGTTTAGCCTCTGCCAGAGGAAGCTCTGGCCCTTTGGCATGTTTCATCTGCAACAGCTCAGTTCATGATCAGAGATTTTTGTACCGGGGTAGGATCTGAGGTCCCTTTGCTGATTCTGTCTTTTGATGTCTCCTGCATGAATACAGTTTGTTATGTGGTAGAGAAGACAAAAAAGTTTCTCTCCCTTCCAGCTAGAGTGACAATTCTCTTTCATCGTCTTTCCTCAGTTTCAAAATGAAGTTGTTTATGAAGATAAATGTGCATCTTTAAAAAACAAAAAAAGAGAGAAAAGAACTCCATGACTTAGGATGGCCATGAGTAGTTTTGGGAATGACGTTAAACATTGATATTGTACCAATTCTTTGGCTGTTGGAGGGGGGGAGGTGAGCTTCTTAGCATCCAAAAAGCACTATCTGAGAGAACTGCTTAGGATCAGTTGTGAAGACTGAAAAGGCCTGGTTGACCTCCTGGGGTAATCGTAGGAACCATCACAGAGAATCCAGTATTCTGTTCTTCCAGTTTTACTCATTCCCAATGGAGCCAGATACATCATGTTTCTTAAACCGCATAAGTATCCTAAAAAATTAATTTTTCAAGTAAAGAGATATCTGATATGTCAAATAAATATCAGAGTTAGGCCACTAGCAAGGGCTTCAAATATAACCAAGTCTGTTCTCCCTTCATCCCTGGACCTTATAATTGAGTCTGATGTTACATGGGGGCTAAGAGCCTGGGAAACAGGTCTCTGCCACTGAATGAGCGCATGGAAAGAGATTGTCAAATCATGCCACATAAATCAGAGCTCTTACCCAATATAAATCTCTGGTAAACGATTTCAAGGGTTTAGGCCATCAAGAGATTCAGATGAAGTAAGAAGTCTCTGGGACCTCAAGGGCAGCTCCCCAGGTTCTGTGTTTCCCTCACTGGACACACACCTTTCACCCAGAATAATAAGTGAGGACCACTGGTCACGTGTCATTGCGGAGCATCTCTCTTATGAAACATCTCTGTCTTATGCTCCAGAGAGTTGGATCGCTGACATGATGTTTTCCAAGGAGCTCTCCATAGATCCTGGGTTCTTTACTTGGGGTACTCCTTAGCCAGGAGCATTCTAAATATCATTACTCTATTGACCCAGAGGTCCACTTGACAAGGGAGTTGGACCTGGTCACTAACCTTCTTTTCCTTCCCCTGGGGTACGCCCCCAGAGAAGAGAGTGAAGGGATGGCGGGCCAGCTTCCTCCCAGCCACTGAGCAGCTGTGTGACTTCGGGCAAGTGAGAGTCTCTTCTGGTTTCTTCATCTATAGTAATAGTTTGTCTAGCATGTTATAATTGACAAAGCCTTTTCACACCTGTGAATTCACACTTTATAATAAAACTTCATAGCCAACATTTTTATTCTAATTTCATAAAATATTGTCCCACCAAAATAGATCTCAGATTTATCTACTTCTCTCCCGGCAAGCCATCTTCGTCGCCCCCTAGCTGGTCTTCCACTTCCTCCATTGCCTCCTCCTTTGCGTATTTTCCACACAGCAACTCAAGTAATCATCTTAAAAAGCAAATCAAATTATGTCACTCCTACTTATAACCTGCAGTGGCTTCCCATGGCTTTTAGGAACATTGTGAAATACTAACCATGGTCCTCATGATCTGCCTCTTTCTCCAAACTCAATTTGACTCACTTGGCTTTACCAGACAGAGGCCTTTCTGACCTCAGACAGGTACTTCTTTCCTGCCTCAGGGTCTTTGCATAGGCTGTTCCCTCCCACTCAGAATACCTTTCTTTCCCCCACCCACTTCCACTTTTCCCTGCTTCATTCCTGCCCTTTCTTTAGCACTCTGTCTAAGTGACACTTCCGAAACGTACAGTATAAGTCAGGCCCAATCTTCACCTCTCAACACATTCTTGAATTTTTCTTTATTGCTCACATTACAATTTGTGTGACTATTTGTTTACTGCCTGTCTCCCTCAGGATACAGTAAGTATCTAGAGAGCAGGGGCTCTATTTTATTCACTAGTTGTCCCCAAGGTTAGCAGAGAACGTGGCATATAGTAGCTGCTAAGGCTCACAGAGATTAAGCAACTTGGCCAGAGTCATAACTTTTGACCTGATATTCACACAATTTCCAAGCCCTGTAAAGCCCCAGGTTTAAGATTGTATCTTGGTTATTTTGAGCCACCATCTTCTCCATCCCATCACCCTGAAGGGTCATGTGAGAGAAGAAAAGAACTATTTTATCTGCCCCAACTCGATTATGAGCAGGAGACTGAGTATATTTGTTTCTGGCAAGACAGTGTTGTGTAGTAATTAAGAGGACAGACTCCGGAGCCAGACCGCAGATCTTAGCTCTGCATTGACTAGCTGTGTGACCTTGGACAAGTTACTTAACCTCTCTGTACCTTAGTTTCCTCATCTTAAAATCAGGATGATATATAATGA